ACACTTTTTCTCCGCGAAGCAGTGTTTGTGGAAGCAGGCCTTACACGCTGTGAGAGAGAGAAGATATCAGCTACAGTGGTCGCATATCAGCCGTCATAGTTAGTTCCCAGCACAGTCTCAAACCAAAATGTGCAACATCTACGTTAGTACAGCAACTTATTAGTGTCACTATTCAGGCTGTGACTCTATGAGATGCATCGATAACGTGTTTCCTTTGACTTTAAACCTATAGTTGGTACATAAAAGGTCGATGTTTCCACCATGATGGCACCTACTGGAGTTTGTTTTTGCCATTTTGATCATTTAAAACCAGACATGACAAGTGACGGATGGATTTGACTGACAACACGAGGACACTACGCATGGCGATACGGCAGCAACAAGGTGCTAAAGCGTAAACACTGATTTATCGCCCATTTGACTCCAAATGGGATCATAATTTACAAATAGCGCACAATGCTGTTCTGAAAAAGTAACTAAACTAGAGACTGAGACCATAAACTCAACAGAAAAATGGTTGCTAAGGTAATAAATCAGGGTAGAATTAGTGTCATTTTCTCTTCTTTCTGCAACCAGAGGAGTCGCCCCCTGCTGGCTAGTAGACAGAATGCAGGTTCACCAAGAGGCTACGTCCATTTTAAAGTGCAATTCTTCAAATGGCCACTGGAGGCGCCTCCAAAAGTGAGTCAGTCCCCATAAAACCTCCATGTTAAAATGTCCAACTTTACAGCATAAAAAAAACATGCTTACAGCCTTGGATGAGAGCAGCTTTGGCCTCTATAGATAATTCACGCTACAAAACTACTTGCTTCAGGTTAGGCACCAAAACTATCTGGTTAAGTTTTAGAAAAGGCTGTGATTTACATTCAAACACACCCGTTTGAACGCTAAACACAAACACTTTGGCTGTTTCCTGCCACACTAGAGTCCCAACCAATGAGTAGCGCCTAAAACAGGAAGGAGACGTCTCACAATTTCACAGGCTTTTATTGTGAAAATAATACATTTTGCGTGGATTCATGTAGCTACTGCACTTATTTTCCAACATTTAAGTCAGAAAAAGACTAAATCAGAGGGAATAATCCTGCAATGACTTATATTTTTGGCTACTTGGTGGCAGCAGGAAGAAGCTAAACAGTAATAATATCACCTTTTCACTATGAGGACACATATAGAGGCAACAATTTGGAGGTTGCATCATGAGTACAACTTGGTTTCCACAATCTGCTCAGACAGATATCTGCCCACTTTCGACTGTAATAATAATCCTGTCTGACTGATGCCTCTGTTTGGAAATACATTTTATTTAGTTTTTGATCCTTTAAAGCGATCGGCGTTGTGCGCTCACCTGCACAGCGTTTACAGGTGTCAGTCTGAAAAGGAAAGATGACGTCTTTCTCTCTGCAGAACTCGCAGATGAAGCCTCGAGCCAGACACAGCTGCGTGAAGGAAGTCGGGAAAGATGGAAAAAATCAGAGAGACCACAGAGTGTAGTTCGAACATCCTGATGGTTTCCTCAAACAAAAATGTTCTCGAAAGAAAAATCGTCGTAGCAAAGAAGCCAGAAAATAAAAAAAACAGTGAAGTACTGTAACTTTCAAAAACTGATAAAATAACAGAAAATGTCTGCAAAATATTGATATTTTTGGTTGATTTAAATAAAGAAAAAATGCCCTTTTATAGTCACATTGTTGAAAAAAACTTGTGTTTGTATAAAAATGATGATTTTTTTTTTTTACAATCAACTTGTAAATTAACTTTTTTTTTTCCATTACTGGATATTTGTGATACAACAAAACTGGGAAAATCTATGAAATAACAGATTTTTAAAAAAATATTTACAATTTTTTAATCTTAATAAACATATTGTTGTTCTATTAACAGCACATATATGTAAAATGTTATTTCTTTGCTGATTTAAATCCAGTTAAACTTTATAAAAGAACAAAACACTTTTCAGAAAGTACAGAATCTATTTACAATTTAGTCCTTTTTCTTTTTAAATGTTTTTTTTTTCTGTGATTTTACTCCCTGACACTGATTACCGTACATTACAGACTGTACATCTACATTTTTAAATGATGTTTTTTATGTAAAATGTTGAAATTAATCTTTAATATTAATAACACAACATCTTAAAGTCTTTTGCCTCCAGTTTCCAGTCAAAAGAAACCTGATAGTCACATAAAAATTCACTATACATCTAAGTTTATCTTGGATAGTTGATAGTTTTGGGGCTAAACTGTATTTATTAAACACATTCCAGTTTGTAAAACACAACACCGATCCCAGCAGGAGACCGACCTGGCAGTTTTCAACGTGATCGATGGCCGAGTGCAGCAGGTTTCTGGCCTGAAGCAACAGCTGACCCTTCTTTACCCTGAACAGGTCGTCCATGGAGAACAGGTGAAGCTTCTCCAGCAGGTGAGCAGGAAGCTGCCCGAACTCGGCCAGAACACTGGAACAGACAGACAGAGCGTCAAATCTGCTGTCCGTGGGCAGAAGCTCAGCTAAAAACTGCAGCGCAGTTAAAGGACTTTGTGCTTTTCAGGGAGGCAGGTTTCAGTTTTAAAGATATCGGAGGAGATTAGATCAGAAACCAGGTGTACCAGGTCCGATCCAGGTCAAAAACCAGGTCAGAAACTAGTCAGAAAGATTCCTAAATCATATCTAAAGGAGGTCAGAAACTCGTCTAAACCAGGTCTGATACCAAGTGAAACACCAGGTCAGAAACCAGGTCAAAACGTTCCCAAATCAGGCCTATGCTGGGTCTGAAACCAGTCCAAACCAGGCCACATACAAGGTCTAAAATGAGGTCCGAAACAGACCAAAAGCAGGCTAGAAACCAGTCCAACAGCTTCTTAAATCAGAGCTAAACTAAGTCTGAACCAGGTCTGGTACCAGGTCAGAAAAGCCAATAAATTATACGTTTAATGTCTGAAAACCAGGTCTAAGGTCAACAACAGGCCAGAACCCAGTCCAATAAAAGGTTTTAAATCAGATATGAACAGTTCTGAAACCAGGCCAAAAAGTTCCCAAATCAGACCTATATTGGGTCTGAAACCAGGTCAGAAACTAGTTAAAAGATTCCTAAATCAGTTCTAAACTAGGTCAGAAATTAGCCTTAACTTGGTCTGATACCAAGTGAAAAACCAGGTCAGAAGCCAGTAAGAAAAGGTCCTAAATTAGACCTGAACTGGGTCTGAAACCAGGTCACATAGAAGGTCTAAAATTAGGTTTAAAACAGACCAAAAACAGGCTAGAATCCAGTGAAGACAGTTCTTCAATCAGAGGTAAACTAAGTCTGAACCAGGTCTGGTACCAGATCAGAAAAGCCAATAAATTATACGTTTAATGTCTGAAAACCAGGTCTAAGGTCAACACCGGGCCAGAACCCAGTCCAATAAAAGGTTTTAAATCAGATATGAACAGTTCTGAAACCAGGCCAAAAAGTTCCCAAATCAGACCTATATTGGGTCTGAAACCAGGTCTGATACCAGGTTAGAAACTAGTTAAAAGGTTCCTAAATCAGTTCTAAACTAGGTCAGAAACTAGTATTAACTTGGTCTGATACCAGGTAAAACTTAAAGGGCCAGGTCTAAGGTCAACAGCAGACCAGAACCCAGTCCAAAAAAAAAAAGGTATAAATGGTTCTGAAACCAGGTCAGGAAACGTCCTGAACTGGTATAAAATCTGGTCCTAAATGGGTCAAAAGCAGGTCAGAAACCAGTCAAAACAGTCTCAAACCACTTCTGTCTGAGACTCTTTTGGTTTTTCTCACAGTCTTTGTGAGACACTTGAGTTCATTGCAGTCTGGCGCCGCCTAGTGGCCCAATTAAAAACAACACCGACATGTTCAAGTCCAACACAGACGATGTTAAATTCCTATTCAAATATTAATTTCATGTCACAAACCTGCAGGTTAAAGCACAAAATCTCATAAGAAGTTTTCACAGCAGACACAGGAACGTCATGTTTTCTACAGGAAACCGTCATACTTCATGTTCACTGGGTGACAGTTTTGTTTATTGCAGGATTTATTTGATGTGTAAAAAAAACAAAACATAAAGTTCTACCTTCCGGAAAATCTGCAGGTTTTCAGCAGCTTCTTGATGCCCAACAGCTGCTCCTGCAGCTCCTGAAGGAACGATGAGGAGACGAGTCAGTAAAGAGGAAAAGAAGGAATGAAGGAAAGTCAACAAAGCAGACTGAAGACTTCGCGGCGTGTTTACTTTCTGAGCGTACAGTCCAACATTTATCTTCCACTTGGTCTTTTTTCTTGTGTTTTTCTTTCTTTTTGTCGTCTATCTGCTTGTCTTTGATCTTTTTTCTCTCCATTTTTCACTTCATCCATCATCTTTACAAAACGTGTAGCCAGACTCATGAGACAAGATTCCCTCACCGGGTAGAGCTACATAAAAATCAGCATCTTCACACACAAGAAGAACAAGGATCTCTGCAGCAGACAGTCTGGTTCTGACGTCAGTATCGCATGCAGTCACAAAAGAGACCCAAAGAAGAAGTTCTAAAGATGCTCCAAAACCAGATCAGAAACCAAAGTATGAAACCAAAAAAAAAAACTGTCCAAAAACAGATCCTAATTTAAACCTAAACTGGGTCTGAAACCAGCATGAACCAGATCTGATACCAGTTTAAAATCCAGTCCAGAAACCAGTCATAAAAACATCCCGAAATCAGTCGAACCCAGGCCAGAAACCAGTCAGACAAGATCTTAAATTAGACCTAAACCGGGTCTGAATCCAGTCTAAACCAGGTCCAATACAGACCTTCAACCAGGCCACAAACCAGCCAAACAAAGGTTCTGATTCAGACGTAAACCAGGTCTGAAACCGGTTTAAATCAGGT